CGAGCGCGGTCACCCTGCAAGCATGAGGTTGATAGCGTGGACGGCGCCGGCAGAGCCACGGGCGACTGCGAGACAGAGGTCAGCGTTTTTGTTGTATCTTCCAATAGAAAAACCTATTGTCAAGAACTTTCGCATGGCGTGTCGCGCCGCTGGTTCTGGCCCACCGCGCTCCCGCGCGACAGCTAATCACGTCGCGGTCCCCGAGCGTCAATGTGCCGTGTCTTTCCCAGGACCCCGCCCTGGGGAGCGGAGCAACACGCCATCCGCTTGCAGGTCATAGCGTGTCGCTGGGTCCGCCGCCGCGACAAACTGAGTAAACGTTCCCGACCGTAGTTCTTGTCACTTATGACACGCCTCGTTTGACAGCATGCTGCTTCCTCCCAAGACGGCATTGCATTTAATTTCAAGAGATTGTGCAGTTTGTTTGTGCTCCACGTTCTGTAATAACGCTATGCGTGAGTCGAAGGATTCAAGGGGATTTCATCACCGACAGGCTAAATGCAGAGGATCGGGGTGCTTGCGTTGTGGTGCCAGCGATGTGTAAACGATTACATGCCTGATGCTTTAATCTGCACGACGTACATGCGCTCGTGATTGCTTATCCTTTCCTCCTCCCCCTCCCCTCCTCTTCCTCCTCCTCCTCCTCCGCCTCCTCCTCCCCGCCCCGAGCGGTTCAGTGATCACATAACGGGGCGGTCTGACCCGCCTCACCGAAGCATTGAGTATCGTCCGCACATGTTGCATAACGGCAGTCTGGTAACGGGGCTTCTCATGTTACGCGCCCTCGGGTGTGGCCCTATGTGGGCGTTGGTGACAGACCGGCATCAATATTGAACGAGTCTCGGAACTACGATCTAGTCCTCATGACCGCTACGCAAATAGGCGACCGCCTTCGTAGAAAACAGGTTCTCCAGCGCAGGCTTGGGAATCGAACAGTCTTTGAGGTACCCCACTCTGTCGCTCTTCTCAGCGATCGAAGCTGCGGGGTATTGATCACCCTCGGACCACGCTACAGCGCGAGGGACGTGTATCAGGTATGGGGGAATCCATGGGGGGCAGCAGGGACGGCAATGGCAGTTCGTTTGAAACATGGCCCTCTGGATGTATGCGCGATCAGCCTGTACTCCCCACCAAGCCCGTCAAGAACATCCAGAAACCCAGCTACTTTGGCACAGCTCAGGTTGTTTGTGATTGGCTGAATCGGCTTCTCAGCGGGATGCCTACTCGTTGTGTTCCAGTATTGTACAGTGATATCAATGACGGAATGGGGGAGGAGTGGAGGGAGGGCACATCGCAAATTGTAGCGACGCACGTGGTGGGGGCTCCGACTCGAGAACGTCTAGTGGGAGGGGCTGGGCATCAGCTTCGCCAATTCTTCGCAAACGTCACACGATTGCAGCTGACGCGCGCACACATGTTGAGAAAACGGTTTTGGGGGAGAACGGGGTGGCCAGCACTCGGGTATGGCGAGGCTGATTCATGCTTGTAGCTCCCCCTTCGGGGTATGGGAGCGAAGTGTCAACCTGTGCGCGGTGCCGCTACTCGTGATCACTTACAGTACCCATCTCGTTGCGCTTGTTGCAGGACAACGGAGGTTCCCCGCGCCTTCTCACGGAGCGGACTTGGTGGGATCAGGACGAGATGATGGGAGGGCTACGGACGGGGAAGGACAGGTGTAAGCTGTTGGAGAGGGCGGCGGAGGAATTGAAGAGCATCCAACCAGACGACGTTGGACGATCGCTTCTTCTGGAAAAACCATGTTCTGGGAAGGGCGCCTCCGCGCCCTGGTTATTCTGAAGACCGCGCGCGTCGTCGAGAGTGGCTTCGTCAGCGCGTGTCTTGTAGAGGTGGTAGGGTCGGGGCTACTGAGCCCGAAGTCCAGGCCATAGATACAGAACTTAAATCATTGTCCTTTCAAGTGCAGCTCGACCGTCGTCGGGCTCTGCGTCGTCGTCGAAACCAGTTCATGACAGACGCGTCCGAGTGCTGGGAGCGACGGCGGACTGCCGAAGCAGTGCGTGCATCGAGGAGGGCTGCTCGGTGTCGTTTGGGCCCCAAGAAGCGGGACGCCCGACTCGCAGGAAGCACGCCATTTCATCGGGCGACTGGCTGGGAGTCTGGAAGGGACCAGGGGCGCAGGGAGTGGCGTTGGTGGAGGAGGTGGACTGGGACCAATAGAAGGCGACCAGGGTGGGAAGCTTACCTCCACGAGGTTGGGGATCCAGGGTGACCGCTCTTGTGGAGGAGGATCTGCAGCCCCTTCGGAAGTACATCTGTTTTGCCCCAGAGCGCAAACAGATCCCAGAAAGCACGGCACCGGTAGAGTTATGGCACACGTTGATGTTCCCAAAAAGGCGAGTCCAGTTTCGTGCAGGCCGAGGCGCACCGCAGGAAGCACCTCGAGTTCCTGCGCGCGGGTGGTTCCTTCAAGTGGCAGTTCTTCCGAGGTTACGAAGATGTTTGTCGCCATGCATGCGCTTGACCGCGATGCCAGCTCATGCGAACAGCGTTTTCTGAATTTCACTCTATTGCCCCCTACCAATAGCAGCGGTGCGCTTGTACAACCTGGGCAGCGAGGGACAAGATGGGATCCTTTCATAGTCGTGATATTCATTCCGAATTCTATGAAACCCTTACTGCACTCGGAATATGATTTATTACAGTGGATAGAGTTTGCTGGTATGCAGGAACTACATGAGGAGCCCCAGGCGGATTTCTCCCTCTGCAGATACGCCGACGACCTCAAGAACATTGTGCTTGCTGATCAGGAAAGTATCCTGAGGGATCTTCTCAGAAAGTGACAGCGCGCGGATTCTTCCCTCAAGTCGGCCAGAAAACGTATACACGAGTTGCTGTTCCACTTCTAGCACACACAAACACACGCGCAATCGAATAAGCAGTTCTCACGCGTTCACCCGAAGATTCCACAGGGCCGCGCGCTGGACGACGCCAGGTACCTCGGCTCTCACACTGTGCTAAGGGACCCGGCTGCTTCGGAGGTAGGTCGACGCATCGTTGTTTTTCAGGCTTCGTTCCGCAGCTTGGGTGGGATTTGGTCACTGGATTGCTTTAAGAACGGTAAGAAAAACCTACTTATCGGGTTCAAAGTCCAACAAACGGATTATGATCGCCTAGGTCGGGGGCTGGTTGCTCTCGGACGCATTGCCATGATGGGAAAGGCTTCCACAGCCACGCGCAGGGCAAGCTCCGCCCCACAAGATGCCGCTGCAGAGGGCGATTACATTCGTCGCCTGTCTACCCAGCAAGTCCTTCACCATTGGCAACTCTCACCCAGTTCAGTCGAACGTCGTCTTCGGCGCGTTCGCAAGTACCAGTCTCGGGCAAGGAAACCTCGGGAGAGCCCCCCGCTTGCTTTGCAGTCTTTGCGGAACTACGCCAATGGATGGGAATTGACCCCAACTGTTGGGAGGCAAACCCACAAGATGATTTTCTCCTGGGGCGGCCCAGGTCAAACAGGATTCGGAGCGAGGCGATGGGGGAGGCGGCCAGGGACCTTACGATTTTACAGGGCGAGGAGCGAGCAGCTGGATTCGCGCAGATTGATGTTTCGGAGATCCTATTGAGTTTTTTACCGCGCGCACTCCTCCCACGGGCAGCTCGGGGAGTACAGGAATGGCGGAGGCTGAGCTGGATGGCATCGAGCACCCATCTGTATGTGGCTTGAAAGCAGAGGAAGGAACATGCACGGCGGCATCACAGATTAGACGGGAGATCATGAACTTTTTTCGACGTGCTCATAGCTTGAGGAACCAGCGCCACGTCCTCACACTGACCAACATGCGCATCCAATGTAGGCAGGTCTTCGGGTGAAAATCCACGGCGGCACGTCATCTACAAGGGTCCCCGGCTCGTACGCATTGCGAGACACGGGGGCCATCCACCGTGAAAATCAACCCCACTATGCCCACCATGTTGGGCGTTTATGTTGTGGTTTCATCTGTTCAACTTTCGGGGACCTGCGCGGCCACCTTTGCGAACATCTTCCGTTTCAGCTCCCGCCCTATCTAGGAAAGGCAGCTGTGAGCCGCGTCAGAAGCAGTGATGGGCGCCGCCCTTCAGATGCCAGATTGGTTCAACGAGGGCATCAGCAGTCAGCAGAAGGGGAAGCAGTCAGCTTTCTGCTGGAGGAGGAGGAGGAGAAGGGGGAGGAGGAGGAGGAGGAGGAGGAGGAGGAGGAGGAGGAGGAGGAGGAGGAGGAGGAGGAGAAGGAGGAAGAGGAGGAGGAGGAGGAGGAGGAGGAGGAGGAGGAGATGGGGGAGGAGGAGGAGAGATGGGGGAGAGGAGCGGCAGGGGCGCCAGCAGAAAGCGGAGGTGGAGGCCATGAGGGCGGCGGGGGCAAGACACCAGCACGGGGCCAAGAGGCTCCATCCAGAAGCCTGTCGGAGACGGTGGACACCACCGTCCGCCTCGCGTTCTCCAACGCGCGGGCCTTGGCCGGCGCCGCAGCCAGCATATCTCTCCGATGCGAATTCGCGGTCTCGCGCGCCCTCATCGTCGCCCTGCAGGGCGACAGGGGGAGAGGAGGTGGACTTCAAGAACCGGCCCCCTCCCCAAGCGCGCACATGCTCGTGGCAGCCGCCCACCGCGGGCGCGCCAAGAGCGCTCCAGCAGGCTTGGACCAGCAGCGAGCAGCCCTGCAACGCAAAGAATCTCTCATCCCGTTTTGGGAGGAGCAGTTCTCGAAGCTCCGGCGGAGGAAGATCGGCCGCGCTTGCGGCCTTTTTTCGGGCGAACGTGCGCCGTCAGTAGGAGAACACAATTCAGAAATGCACGACCAGGCGCGCTCTGGCGGAGCTGGTGGAGGAGATGGCGAGGCCGGAGGGGGTCTCGTACCGACGGGGCCGTTCGAACGCGAGTTGTCCAAACAGGTGAGAGTGAGCGCCAAGTGGGAGCTCTAGGTAGCAGCGTGCGCTACCAGGAAATGGTGGCTTCAGGTACTATGGCACTTCAATAAACCCGTCGATCGGTTCAGACATGTAAGCATGACAACTTACCTGCTGCACCAATCGTCGTATGACCCCCCCCCCAGCCGAAGCACGAAGGGAGAGGGAAGGGTGGGTCTCGGGGTCGGGGTCGCGGTCAGGTGCCGTCGGGTCGTGGGAGGCAGGGGACTTGGCATCGCTCGGACGTGTGCATTTTTTTCTCGGCGACGGCCATCGAGGACCATCCTCGATCATTTGATTAAAAAAAAACTAAACAAAACAAAAAAACGCACGAAATCGAAAAATACACGAGGAATGGACGTCCGAGCGACGGCGAGGGGATCGGCAGCGAGCGGCGGGAGCCGCGGCGGAGCGCGAGGGCGCCTCGCCCCCGCTGGGCCTCCACGCCGCCGCGGGAGAGCGCGGAGCCCAGCGCGGAGCCTAAGCGGGAGCCCGCGCCGTGGGAGCCCTGCGCCTCGAGCCCTCTGCGCGGGGGCCTGGCGGTTGCGGGCCCAGGGCCGGCGCTGCCTGGCGCAGAGAGCATCGGGAGCCTTGAGGAGGAGGAGGAGGAGGAGGAGGAGGAGGAGGAGGAGGAGGAGGAATTGGAGGAGGAGGAGGAGGAGGAGGAGACGGGGGTCAGTGCAAACGGGGGTAGCGCACAGAGCAGCTGCTCGGCCTCGGCTGCGAGGAGGACGTACAGCAAGGCCTCTCGCAGAGTCGCTTCTGGCACGCCCCAGAGTTATCTGTTGTAGCTTTCCGCTTCATAGTCGCGGTCCTTGGAATCCATTGGCTCGAATCCTCATCCTCATCCTCATCCTCATCCTCATCCTCATCATAAGTATCATCCTCATCATCCTCATAAGTATCACCCTCATCATCAACAACATCATCATCACCACCATCATCATAATCATCACCATCCCCCGTCTTTGCTTTACATGTTCATCCTTCCCCGTCCTTCTTCTTGTTCGTGTCTCCTCTTCCGTCTCCGTTTCCCCTTCCCCCCCCCTCCCATGGATGTCCTCCCCGAACTCAGACGTGGATGTCCTCCCCGTCATCCTCTTTTCTACGTCGCGCCTGGCCAGACGGGCGGCTCCTCTTCGCCCCAGGGAGGAGTCCGGACAGAAATCTTCGCCGAGTGCGGAGGGCGATGTGACGAGTATCGCGCGGCGCGATGCGGCGTATCCTGGGATGGGGATGCTGATGATGATGATGATGATGATGATGATGATGATGGTGATGGTGATGGTGATGGTGATGGTGATGGTGATGATGATGGTGATGGTGATGGTGATGATTATGATGGTTGTGCTGATCACGGAGCTGATGATGATGGTGGTGCTGGTAATGGTGGTGATGATGGGGTTGATGTTGATGACGATGATGATGATGATGATGATGATGATGATGATGATGTTGATGTTGATGTTGATGCTGATGCTGATGCTGGTGATGGTGATGGTGGTGGTAATGGTGGTGATAGTGGTGATGATGATGGCGCTGTTGATGGTGATGATGTTGATGATGATGATGACGTTGTTGATGCTGATGACGATGGCGATGCTGCTGATGATGATGGGATGATGATAGTGGTGGTAATGGTGGTAATGAAAATTGCAGGTCTGATTGTGATGATCATGATGATAACGATGATGCTGATGACGATGATGATGATGGATGATGGCGATGATGATGATGATGATGATGATGATGATGGTGATGCAGGTGATGATGATGATGATGATGATTATTGCGGTGCTGATGATGGCGATGCTATTGGTGATGGTGATGATAGAGGTGATGGTGATGATGATGATGCTGATGATGATGATTGTGTTGGACATGATGATGGTGTTGATGGTGATGACGATGATAATGCTTATGGCTTCGATGTTGACGACGATGGCCATGGTGATGGAGATGAGAATAACAACGACGACGACGATGATGATGATGATGATGACGATGATGATGATGATGATGATGACGATGATGATGATGATGATGATGATGATGGTGGTGGTGGTGATGATGGTGATGATGGTGGTGATGATGATGATGACGATGACGCCGATGATGAGGATGAGGATGCTGATGATGCTTCTGATGATGATGCCGACGACGACGACAACGACGAAGACGATCACGATGACGACGACGACGACGACGAAGAGGAGGAGGAGGAGGAGGAGAATAAGGAGGAGGAGGAGGAGGAGGAGGAGGAAGACGCGGGGGTAGAGCGGGAGCAAGTGGGAGAAGCAGAGAAGAAAGTACAAGAAGCGGAGGAGGAGGAAGAGAACGACGACGACGACGAGGAGACGGAGGGGCGGCGGGAGGCAGACGATGAGGATCAGGACGAGGACGAGGAGAAGGAGGAGGAGGACAGGGAGGAGGACAAGGAGAAGGGGCACGAGGGGGGAAGGGGACAGGGAGGAGGAGTTCATTGCGCTCGCCTTGTCTTCGCCGCCTCCGGACGATCACAGGCGGCAGATGGCCTCGAGCAGGTTGCCCCGGCAGAGGTCTGCCCCAGCGGCATGGCCTTGGACGACCAGCCGAGGCCTCGTTCGGGAGCAGGGAAGAGGGAGACGGAGAAGGAGGAGGAGGAAGAGGCGGAGGAGGAGGAGGAGGAGGAGGAGGAGGAGGAGGAGGGGGAGGACCAGGGAGCAGGGAGGAGGGACGACGGACGAGGTGGAGAAAGAGGAAGGAGGGATAGAGGGAGAAAGTGAACGAGGAGGAGGAGGGAGGAAGGGAACGATGAGGAGGAGGAGGAGGAGGAGGAGGAGGAGGAGGACGAGGAGGAAAGAGGAGGGAGGGACGCGGGAAGGCGCAGCAAGGAAGGAGGATGAGGAACGCGGCGCGAAGAACGAATAGGAGGAGGAGGAAAAGGAGGAGGAAGAAGAACAGGAAGAATGGCTAGGACAATGAGGAGGAGGAGGAGGAGGAGGAGGAGGAAGAGGAGGAAGAGGAGGAGGAGGAGGAAAGAGGGGGAGGGGGAGGAAGAGGGGGAGGGGGAGGAGGAGGAGGAGGAGGAGGAGGAGGAGGAGGAGGAGGAGGAGGAGGGGAGGGAGGGAAGAGGAGGAAGAGGAGGAGAAGGAGGAAGAGGAGGAGGAGGGGGAGGAAGAGGTGGAGGGGGAGGAAGAGGCAGAGGAGGAGGAGGAGGAGGAGGAGGAGAAGGACTCGAGGACTCGAGAGCAGAGGGCACCGCGGTCGACTCCGCCGCCGCGGCCCCATGAGGTCGCGAGCCAGCCCCAGAACCAGGGCGGGCCTCCACCTCCCTGCCACTTCCAGGGCAGAATAACTCCGCGGGGCCGCGGCCCCGAGCTGAGGTCGCGAGCCAGCCCAGAGTCAGGGCGGGCCTCCACCTCACTGCCACTCCAGGGCAGAGTATATCTGCGGGGCCGCAGTCCCGAGCCGTGTAGTCATCCGCGTTGGCGTCGCCCAGCAGCAACTCGTGGAATTTTGCCACCGTTCGGCGGCACCGTGCCGTCTGGCCAGTTCTGGCCCGCTTTGGGAGGTAGCCCTTGGCGTAGTCGGCGTAGAACAGTCTGGCCACTCATCGTGATCTGCTCTCTGCACGTATTCGCCAGTAGGGATATCCGTCCATGGCAGTCGTCATTGTGTGAGGCCACCGCTGCACAGTTCCAACACCAGAACTGCCCATGAGCAAGTGATATCGAGTGGCTCGGGTGGATCACCTTATCCTTGATTTCGATCATCTCATTGTTGGGTGCATGTGCTGCATGTCCGTGGTCCGCTCGATGGGTCTCATACTGCCTTCCAATGCAAACATTCGCCTTCATCCAGTCGACCACGCTGTACTTTCCAGGCGAACTTCAACATTCTTGGCATACCCATTGCCCTTTAATTTTCTTCCTGCTGTGGCCAGACAACTCTTCTAGTTGACGGCGTTGCTCTCGTCGCTCTCGGGCTAACATACGAGGTATCTGTTTTGGTCTGTCCAACATGGTCGGGTCGGCATTATTGCAGATCTCGTGGATGATGGCTGCTCCGCGTCGCTGGGCACGCATCAGTAGGGTCTCCACCTCCATGAGCTGCTTAACCTCATCGCGTATATCTTTCATGGACTCCTCTGCTCCACGCTGTGCCAAGGTGTCCGCCGTCTCATTACCCAGACTAATGTGGAAGGTTTGCTTGGACTGCTTGATAGATTCATGATCCCGGTGAGATAAGCAGTTGACCACGTGTACGGCCTCAGCTCCTCCAGGTCTCTTCTTGAGCATGCTTCGGATCCTTTCCCACCGTTTTCGTAGGGCCCCTTGTGGTTGGTCATAGAAGCGTTGAGTCCACCCATTCACCACTTGTTGGCAATCTGTGTATATCGTAATCGGCCCTTTGGTCAGCGCCAACGCCCAAAACAGTCCAGCATGCTCAGCTGCAGGTACACTTTGTTCTCCATCAACGGTGCCATAGAAGCCGATGTGACTCGTATCTTCGATGGTGCCATTGCTGATGTCAGGTCTGTCGTTGGTGCTGAGGGCATGTGCTAGGTAGTGCGGCGCCGTGGCCTCATTCACGTTGTCGCTGTCGCCGTAGTACTCAGGGAACTCCTGCTCGAAGGTGGGGGCCTGGTCACGTAGGAGCTGTCGAAACTTCTTTTCGATTTCCAAGATGCTGTCGAACCAGTGCTGGACATAAGCGTCTCTTTCCCATCCATGGAGAGTGAGGTAGTAATCGTAGACATCCTTTCGTCGCTTCTTAGAGGTTCGCCAATGCATGTCACATAAGTCTTTTGCAATTCGGCTGATGCTCCTGGTCTAGTAGCGTGCCTTGAGAAATTGCAGGAGACGTGCTTGTTCTGGTTGGCGTAGGAACTGCTCCATGTACGGTTCGCACCATAGCTTCCAACTCTCCTGGTTCCGAACATCGTTGTTGTCGGTAAACACCGTCCAGGTAGCTGCCCATACGCTGAGATCGTTCATCACGTCCTTGTGCACCTGCTCCGTTGTCTCGTCCGTCAGTGCCTGTATGGCTTGGCCTCCATTTTCCGTGCGACCTGATGGGGTAGTTTCGCCTGGGTACAACGTGGCATACGAAGATCCACCCGTGGTTTGGACTCCCAGCGGGCGGAAGTCCCGACCAGCTCCCGACGGGTTCCCCATCTGTGGTGCGACGTCTCCCTGGGAAGGTTTTTTTTTCTATGGCTGAGTCCAACGTGGCATACGAAGACCCACCCGTGGTTAGGACGCCCAGCGGGTGAGGGTCCCGACCAGCCCCCGAAGGGCTCCCCTGTCCCAAGAGAGCGTCATGGCAACACAGTCGCTCTCGTCCTGGTTGATATTCATCGTGCCCATCTCGTAGTTTGAAGTGTGAGTCCCCCACCAACTCTGTTGATGCGCTTGTCGTTGCTGGTGCCCGAACCGTCCACAAATGCCGTCGGTGGCTGTGGTTCAGTAGCTTCCATCCCAATCTCCCCACACCGGTGGCGACGGTACTGGGTTTCGATGCTGAGGAAGAAGTCCACGTAGCCAGAAAGCCTCCGTACCAGGGTCTTCGTACATCTCCTCCAATGCTTTCTTGCAGAGGGACTGTGACTTGACAACGGCCTCTATGTTCAGGTTCTCGTTCATCTCACACTCGTAGATCCTGTGCTGGATCGTGTCCGCCGCTTTGGAACATCTTGGGCACACCCCGTCGGTATGATATCCCGCATTTTTGCAACGTTGTCCAGTCCATATGGCCCCGCACGCTAGAGCTTCTAACGCGCCTGCCTCTTGAACTCGATCTGCTTTGCGTAACTTCTGTAGGGTCTTCTTGAGCATGGTCGTGTCCATACCGTGCTGCATACCTTTGCCGTAGTAGTGGTCCGCTGCCTTAAGCCAGAGCTGCGCCTCCATCTCCTTGGCTATGGTACGCATGATGTCCTTGAAACCGAGGACGTCGTCATTCCGGACCTTTCATGTAATGCAGCGCGGGTCTTCCCACTCATCTGGTCAAGAGGAGGAGGGGGAGGAGGCGGAGGAGGAGGAGGAGGAGGAGGGGGCGGGGGAGGAGGAGGAGGAGGAGGAGGAGGAGGAGGAGGAGGAGGAGAGGAGGAGGAGGAGGAGGAGGAGGAGGGGAAGGGGGAGGAGGAGGAGGAGGAGGAGGAGGAGGAGGAGGAGGAGGAGGAGGAGGAGGAGGTGGAGGAGGAGGAGGAGGGGGACGAGGAGGGGAAGGAGAAGGAGGAGGCGGGGGAGGGGGAGGGGGAGGAGGAGGAGGAGGAGGAGGAGGAGGAGGAGGAGGAGGAGGAGGAGGAGGAGGAGGAGGGAGGAGGAGGAGGAGGAGGAGGAGGAGGAGGAGGAAAGAGGAAAAGAGGAGGAAAAGAGGAGGAAAAGAGGAAGGGAGAGGAGGAGGAGGAGGAGGAGGACGACGAGGAGGAGGAGGACAAGGACGAGGACGAGGACGAGGGGGAGGAGAAGGTGGAGGAGGAGGAGGAGGTGGAGGAAGATAAGCTGAGAAGGATCAGGGGCGACGACGAGCAAGAGAGGCGCCGTGCGGCACGAGAAGGAGGAGCCGGTACGAGCGGGAGGAAGGAAGACGAGGATGTGCTGCATTGGGACTCGGCCACCCTGGCCTCGGTGCTGCAGCTGTTGTGGGGGCTCTGGAGGGCGAGAAGAAGAAGTCTCTCCCCCAAAGCGGGGAGAGTTCGCAGCACTGCCTCAGTCAATACCTGTAGGCATGAATTTGCGGACAAACGGGGAGGAGGAGGAGGAGGAGGAGGAGGAGGAGGACGAGGAGGAGGAGGAGGAGGAGGGGGAGGAGGAGGAGGAGGAGGAGGAGGAGGAGGAGGAGGGGAGGAGGAGGAGAAGGAGGAGGAGGAGGAGGAGGAGGAGGAGGAGGAGGAACAGCCACAGCAGGAGCAGCAGCATGAAGAATTGTCGCACTCCCTGGGCACATCATCTCTTTCTCTGTGCCCCGCCCGTCCCCTGCAAAAGTGTTGTGCCTTCTCGGGCGCCGTCTCGTTCTCCTCCTCCTCCTCCGCCTCCTCCTCCTCCGTAGCCTTTTTTGGCTCAAGGCATAAATTGGGCCGTCTTTGTTACACCATCGTGGTTTTAACTTGGGCCCTCGGCCTACTACATTCGTTCACCCGCAGTTCAGAATTTCCCGTCTCTGTGCTAGTAGCCGCCGCGTCGCAGCCATGGAAGGTCCTTGCGCCGAGTCCGACGACCCCCCGGAAAGCTGGCAGCGCACATCCAAGACCTCCTCACGCCACGGACAGAGCAGTGATGAACGTCAACCGAAGCATCCCCGTGGACGCGCAGCTGGCCAGGGAGGCTGGGACGCGCGTCCTGAAGCCGCAGTCGCTCCCCCCGTCGGTGGTGGTGGTGGTGGTGGTGGAGGTGCTGCAGACTGCTCCAACCGCTGTATTGTAGCTGTCGCGGCGACGCTGGCAGTGCTCGAGGCCAAACCCACGCCCTCCGCACAGGAGGCCACCGAAGGTAACGGCAAAGGCCCCCACAGCGCCCAGCACGGCCCCGACGTTCCTTTCCCCAGAAGTTCTCCTCTCCGTTGCAGGCCGCACGACAAACCGACTTCTTGGAGAACCAGACCCATTGCGGC